AGCAGTGATTGCAAGACATCGTGCGAGCGTCCAGAATTCATGCGGTTTCTTGCGCTCACGCGCTCAGGATGATCGGACAATGGCAGACTACCAGTTAGAGAAGTATTGTGTTTGCGCCTTCTTCAGCAAGAAGACACGTTCACTCTCGAAAATGGCTCAACTGGATGTTCATGATATGCCTTCATATGTCTTCCAGAAGCTTTCGGCCCAGAAGCCAGGCCACCCTGGTCATCCCAGTGCCAGCGACTGCCTCAGGTGTACATTTCGAAAAGTCACAAGTGGATAGCAAGGGCCGGGTCCTCGGTGCATTCAGGAATTGCGGGCATTGTGGCGTCTGTTTTTGCACGGGTTGGGCTGCCAGTTATCGCAAAGAATGCGAAGATCAGCTAGTCTAGTGTAGAGATTAACGAGGCTTGTCCAGCGCTTGATCAGCGCCCTCCAGAGATCAGCGAATGCGAATTCGGGCCGGACTCCGGACTGTGAAGAAGTGATTTCATCTTGCCAGGTGATTACATCTTTGACGATGCGTTCTGGGATGAGAATGGATACCATCCACAGCCAGCTGGATGTTGGATTCCGCAGGAGCGCGATGGAGCGGAAAATGGACTCCGCGTTTGCTTTGAGACGTCCTTCAAGGCACCGAGAGCTGCAACCCCATTCCCGAAGATGCTCACATCCTCCCAGCCATTGCTGGTGCCCCAACCAAACCCACGCAGCACCGGACGCGGCCAGGACTCCATTGCGTGTTGGCCTTAGTGGGTTTGTGAGACCAGTCTTGAGGATGATGCTGGTTGGCCAAAATCTTTTTTTTAGGCCTCGCTTCGGAGCCGCCCTAACTCTTTTGGGTAGTTGCTGGTAACGCCTCCAGGCGCCTGTGCCTGATATGTAATAACCTCCAATAATGCAGTATCTAGTGTGCTTGATATATGACTTTGTCCTTCTGTGAGCTACAGGTGTGTTGGGGGGGGGTTTTGGGGGGGGGTTCGGGGGGGGGGCGTGGTTTTGTTACCGTTTCTGAGTCATCTTTAGAGGGTTTTTTTCGTGTGGACCCCTTCTTTTTGGACGGATTAATTGATGTTGGTTCGTACCCGGTGGGAGGTGATCCGTTGGTTGATTTTGTTTCGGATGTAGGTGCGCTACGCAAACATGTCCCATACCAAAGCTGTGGTGGCCACAGACCTGGTGCATGCACACGGCGTGTCTTACAACTTGGCGGACAACTTCTTGCGTGTTCTGTCGGAGCGTGAAGCTGCAGCAGGCAAGAAGGCAATGTCGTTGATCCGGCTCCGCCAGGAGATCGAGTGTGATGCCACATCACTCGGCCGCTTCTTTGTGAAGCCTGACAACATCTTCTACGCGGACCAGATCCAAGATTTGCAGCAGAAGAAACGGGCCTGTTTGAAGTCTTACCCAGTCCATGTGCGTGTCGTCGGCGCCATCCAGCGGGGTGGCTTGATGGTGGTGAAGTTCATGACGCCGAAGGTTACTCTTCGCTCGGCCGCCTGTCGAATCGATTCGGGAGATTGACAGGTCAGGCCTTGCAAAGTACATTGGAGCAGACAAGAACACAGCAATCTACTCAGATGGTGCTCCGAGCTGGCGAACCTTTGCCAAGAAGCTGAAGATCCCTGTGGCTCAGGTGTCACACCAGCAACGACAATACGCAGTGCAGCTTCGACGTGCTCCTCGGCCCAAGCTGAGTAAAGTCGGAGGCACGCAGTGCATCGATGCTGCTTGGGGAAGCCTGAAGCGCTTCATGCCGAAGCAGGTAAAAAGAAAAGGAACAATGAAAGGCGTCAGTTGCATGAATGCAACGTTGGAACGCCGTGTGTACCAATGGCTCTGGCGCAAAAACCTCAGAGCTGATGGAGATGTCACGGGACAAGAGTTCCTGCTGCACTTGTCGAAGGCTTGCCGCTGGAAGTGAAAAGCACCGTATGGCGGTTTTCCCGCTGAGCACTTTGGTGAAAGAATTGACCAATTGGGACCGTTTGAAAACCGACAGAGCAGACTATGGCTTTTTTAAGAGAGAATGTCACAGCTTTCATGCCATGTTGCTACAAAGAGAATTTACACCAAGACTGAGTCCAATCATTTCGTGGAAGGGAGTCCTTCTCTCTGAGCATTGTGTCTCATGCTTAAGATGATTGATCCCAATTTATCCTGATTGCTGATGGAAACAAACTCTTATTACTCAGGTACTTGAAATAACAAAAACTAATGTCCAAATTGACGACCCCATTTTTACTCAACTTTCTTGAAATGGTCCTCCTCAGGGGGTTTCAGGAGAGATGTAACACGCCACCCACAGGCGCCAGAAGGCGTCGTCACCTAGTTGGGTAGTTCGCAGGGCTGCAGGGGTGTTCAGGTACCCATGGTTGGAGCCATCACTGCCATCTTCGCACGTGCGCCATGACCCATGTGAGCATGTGTGAGCCAGCACCAAGTATCTGCCCTATAGCTGCACGATGATGCACACCACGACTTTCAGCTGAAAGCAGCTACCCCCGTTCCTCCCCACTCGGTCTCGCGACCAAGATCGCGGACGCTCAGGGACCGTGTTCGTCCGGATGTCAATCCGGTGGATCCCAACCAACCGCTCAGCCACTTGGAAAGCAAAAAGGGAGGACGGGGGACGCCACAGGGCACGGGTGACTTCAGGGCGCTGGGCATCTGTGCGACACAGGGCGGGCCATGGCGGCCATGGGTCCGATATCTCCACCTGATGGCCCGTCAAGATAGTGCGTCACCGTGATTTGTGCGTTTTGACAGTCAGATAGTCAGATAGTCAAGCAACTTGCTACCAGGACCCCAGACGGGGTGGTGAATGGACACCCCGAGTCACAGCTGTTTGGGGCTACATAGACACCCCGAACGAGTCGGGTCCTGGTCAGTCGCACCGTCGACGCACTGAGCGACCGCCAGGCATCGTCAGCGACCGCCGTGCCGCGGAGAAGAGCTGAGGACCAGCGACGAGCGATGCGGAGCGATGCGCGGTGCGAAGACGGAGGGCCGAAGGGAACTGCGATGAGAGCGGCCGATGCGTGGACCTCGGTTGCTCAATGCGAACGTCTTGAACGGCCTGTGGCACGGACCCTCTCCCAGAATTGACCCAAAGAATCCTTGGGCTCTCCATGGCAGGGGTCGGACCCTCCATAGCAGGGGTCCGGGCCCTCAAAACCCTATCTGTTTGAGGGCCCGGAGTTGAGGGCCCGAGCAACTGTGCGACTCTCCGCACCAACCTTCCCACCTCGCCCCGCTGCAGGCGGCGAACGAAACGGCGAGATCGACGACGAGGTGTTGCACCGAAAACAGGTCTCACCGGTGCCATCTTCCCGGCGGAGAGGCAGAAAAGCAAGGGCCACCTGAGAGGAGGACGGGCCCGGCCCGTGAGCCGGTAAACCACCCGTTTCGTTTTTTTGCCGCTTTTGTTTTATGTTTCGTTCACTATCCATTCAAGAAGAATTGGGTTCACCTGGACGTTCTAGTCTCAAATACGTAAAATCCATGTAAAACTCATGGGACAGCTGATTCAATCCATTAAATCCAAAGGTGCACCGTTCACCAGCGGGTCGCTCCCTGGCGTCCGCGGTCCAAAGGCGGGCTGTGATGGTCTTTGTGTGGGTTTGGGTTTCATGGAAGAGCGGCAAGGGTCATTTCTCATCCTTTCCTTGGAGAAGTAGTTCTATATTGTTCCTTTCCTTTCCTTGGAAGATAGGGGGCCGTACTGAGTGGATAAAATTGGTGAGGTCAGTGCCTGGACTATATCTGTGTGCCAGCCTGCCAGCAACCTATCCAGGGGGTCTATCCCTCAAAGGAGTGGATATGTATTTTTGGGGGGGTGATATTTCAGGGTCAGTGCATTAAAAATATCCAGAATTATATAACTATTTTAGAATTTTATCCACTCGATAGTGGGAGTAGAAGAGAAAGAAAAGATAGAAAAGAGAGGTTAGAGAGAAGAATGAAAGAAACCAGATTGAACAGCAATCAAAATCAAGAAAACAAAAGAGAGAAGGGAGAAGGGAGACGAAACATGATCGCAGACGATGGCGATTCTTCTTGAATCCTGTTGATCCTTGCTGAAACTTGCGTGTCCGTTTTTTCATCTTGCATTTCGCTCGTTACCTGGGGTTACCTGTGCCCTTGGGGGTTACCTGGGGTTACCTTAGTTTTCTTAGACGTCACACCACCACAGAGCATACAGAGCGTTGGAAAAAACCTGAGGCTGCGATCGTTTCGTTTTACCTCGTTCGTCGACCAGCATCTACTTTTGAGGAGCGGCTTCGTCGATCCTGTTCGTCTAGCTTGCTAACATCAGGCCTTCCTAAAATTATCTATTTGCATTGGCCAAGGTTTTTTTTTTGTCCTTATCCTGACCCTAGCCTTCAAATTTATCCACCTGTTTTGGCTGAGACAGGTTCAGTCCTGGGAAGATATCCTGTACTGACCCTGGGATTCAGTACAACCGGGTATTTGGAAGAGCAAGTTTTAACATTTTCTCAACTTGTTTCTCATTCTTCTACTGAGCCCCTGCTTCTTTTATTTTCTTTCCGTGTGCTGTGCTTCTCACTCACCAAATGCACAGCATCCCTGACGGGCTGCACTGGCTCACGCGCGCCGAAGTATTTCAGTTTCGAGCGGCCCGATGGACAGGCAGTTCTGAACTGATTCTTTGGCAGGACTCATGTTGTATTGTCCAAGTCCTATCCCAGTCACATGGAGTTGGGTATAGTGTTGTCCCATAGTCCCATGGAGCAGGGCTGTGGATGTGACAGGAGCACCCTTAACCGATAGTACCCCGGCATGGAACTGATGGTGACACCCAAAAGGTCTCAGACGTAGTACGTAGTCACTCCCCTGCAGACTGATGCCATGGGCTAATTCTGTGAGAAACAGACTACTGATCGCAAGTCATCGGTTTTTCATGTCAGCAGCAAGGCCATAATTGGAACGAAGAAGAGCAAGGAAAAGAAGTCAGACTTGCAGCTTTTTCCCTTTCTGTAGCCACTTGGTCCAGTTAGGAGGTGTGCTTCAGACTAAGTCTCGGATCCTCCAAATTCCGCTTCCATGGCCGAGGCTCGGTGCTTTTTCATGTCAGGACTCCTGTCGATTTTGGCTCTTGGGAACGGGGGAGAGCATGAGAGAGCAAGGACTCTTTTGGGTTTATGCCTCCCCAGAAAAAAGACCACTTGATTCCTTGATAGTCCAGTCATTCTCAGAATCAGGATCTTCCCAATTGAATGTCAAGCCTCTCTCACCAACCTCAACCCCCCGGTCGGTGACCTCCGGGTTCCAGGCGCGAGCGCCTGGAGCACCATGGCCGTGAAGCGCCATGGACAACTGTCGCCCATCTCCGTTCTACTTGAGGAGCCCAGAAGCCACCCTCCCCGCGGGCGCGGAGCCCGGGGCGGAGCCCGCGTAAAAAGCTCGTGCGGTTCGAGTTCTGAACATGTCAGAGGAAGGCCTAGTCACTAGTCTTGAGTCTATACCAACCTCTCAACAAAATGGACAGCCTGCCCAGCCGTTGTTGGGAATTGGGGACACCAAGCAGCAAGACCACCCAAACGCTCCATGGGACTGGATTATGCCATATACCATAATACCTAGAGGAACCGTTGGCAGAAATTTTTGCCGAGACACCATTGTGCCCTGATTTCAGCCAAATTCATCGAAAAGCGCCGAATCCAAAAAATAACGCCGAGCAATATGAAAACTGCCGACTTCAATGGTTTTCAGTTGCTAGATTCTCAAACCAACACTTGCCAGATCTTGCCAGTCTTACCAAGCCCTTCCCCGCCCCCTTTCCCAAACAAAACTACAGGGTGACCATCCACAGTTTGGGCTTACATATGATGACCAAGGGATTGGCATCCACAGTTTGGATACCTTGGAATCCTTGCACGGCACAGATGAGAGTTAATCCACAGTTTGGGAGTGCTTACAAAGAACACACTTAAAAGATCCAACAATGTTTGCCTAAGTTCATGCCGTGTCTTCCAGACCTTCTCGATATTTCCCCTACGGTTTTCTTGAAAGGCCAATCCAGGCAAGCAAAGTTCTGTCTTTGCTTCTCCGGATCACTCTCCAAACAATGCTTTGCCGCTTTGCCCTTTCATGATCCAACCTCTCTTGACAAGGGTGGTTGTAGAACAGCTGCAACTCACAATTGGGCCAACAAAAAGATCTTTCCAGTGCAGCCATCCAAGATGTTGATTCTTATATATAGGAAACCCCAACCAAGCATAAACATGGTTACAGAAATTTGCGCCGAATTGTCGGGCAATTACGCCGAATTATCGGATATTTACGCCGAATTATCGGGCAATTACGCCGAGATCTAGGGATGACAAAACTTTTGAAAGCTATGAACAACTTGACTGCCACGATTCACGCAAGGGTGCCCGGTTGGTTCACGGTGAGTTTGTGTTGAATTATGCATGGTCCATGCACAGTCCTCTAACTTTCACCTTGGTGATGGAATCAAACCTCTCCATTCACCGAATATGTTCAACAACAGCTTTGTGCCACTGCAAACATAGGAAATCAGGGAAGAGGGTTGCGTCCGGCCACAGAAACCATTTGGCATTTCTGCCAGGCCTTCTCTATTATTCTATAATTTTAATAAACGGTTTCCTTGATCGGATCCATGGCTGGATTTGAGTGTTTACAATGAATCCCTAAGCCAACAATGCTTGGCAAGAGTTAGGAACTACATACTGAAGAAAAACACTGGGCGTGAACAGCCAGGGCGCACCTGAAGAATGCCCGGTTCACCAGGTATTTGATCCCTAGAGGATTGTCGAGCCAAGTTATCATGAATCACCACAACCCGGATTGGTTCTGCATCTAATCAACCAATCAATATGTTCAAGAACTTCAAAAACCAAAAACGCCGAGTCTATCTTGGTTTTAGCAAATTACGCCGAATGCCCTTTTTCAGGGCAAATTACGGGTAAAGGCGCTTTTTGCTGAGGTGGCAGAATTTTTGGTGCATTTAGAGTCTCTAGGTATATACCTATTCCTGGACCTTCAGAATCAGGGTGTCCTGGCTGGAGGTCTTCCAGCCAGACCCCGAACTGAAGGTGCTGGTACCTTGGCCCCGACTTCAACCACCCCAATGTACCATGGATTCATCTGCCAGTCGTCGTCGTGCCGACGGGACGACGGTGTTCCTTCGCTTCGACCAAACCGTTCTTCAACGATCGGCCGGTCCGTACTGCGTCCCGCGTCGCGTGGCGTCAGCAAGCGCCAGGCCGGGCCACAACATCCACTAGAACAACCTGAAAACTAAACAGACTACCGGTTTGTTTTGGGATGGCCAGGACATACTATAACAACCTCAAAACTGACTCTGAGACATCCCAAAACAAACCGACTCAGACAATGGTAGTCTGAGATCCCCTCACAACTGACAAACCGGTAGTCTGTCCTCTCTGATAATTTGGGAACCAGGGGCCGCCAGGGCGCCACGGCTTTGATAGATGTTCCTGACTTCAGACCCACCCGGTGAGTTTTGCCCGTCCACCGTCCGACGGGAATCGGCGCGCGAACTGCTCCAGGAGTTCGATGCCACGCAGAACCGCCTGGCGCGCGAAAATCGCCTCATGGAGAAGAGGCCCGGGAGACGGGCGATGTGGAGAGGGAACACCTGGGCGATTTTCCGGCGCTGGGAAATGCGGCATGAGCTGTGGCAGCTGGTGCCAGCTGCGGAAGTGCTGTGCTTGAAGTGGGGAAAGAGTTGACTAGTTGACCCTTTCAATCCAAAAGGACTCAACTGTTGCTGGATCACTGGATCCTGGATTTCATCGTGAAGAAACAGAGGTCCGACTTCAGATTTGAAGGGTAGTCGTCTGGACAGGTGTAGAGCGATAAGGGCTCTCGATGTGTCTTTTCCTCGGTCCAAAACACTTGGAGAAAACGATGGTCGTGGTTCCATTCGCATCATGCATTGCATCAGGTTCTTGTCCATTCAGCCGGACTGTGTCCGTGTTTCTTTTCAATCACGCGGGTGTCCGAGGACACAAACACATGCGAGGGACTGCTGATGTCTGCTGATGTCTGCTGCTTTGCTGGCTGGCTCCTTGCCTGCGGTGTATGTCACATGTGGATCGGCAAAGGTACCAAGGGGCCCAGAAGGACTGACTCCCGAGATGGCCCGGCCAGAGCTGGTTGATTGGATTTCAGGGGTCGTGGGTAAATCTTCGGTCGTCCCATAGAATCATGAGAGTCATAAGCCATCGAGTGTCATCCGCTTCTATCTGGCGCCGTGGGTCTTTCATCCAGGAAGGATACCTTGGTTGACCAGAGAACATAAACAGAATTCGATGACCATGACCCACAGGTCAACCGCCCCAACCTACCAGCGCCTAACTGTCGAACCAAGCTGCTCCGCTCCGGACCGGAGGCTGGCCAAGCAGGCCAAGCGGGAGAGGGCTCAGAAGCTGCGGAAGCTGGCAGATCGTGCGTGGGGGGCACCTAGAGTACTAGAGAGCGGGAGCGGTGTAAGGGTGAAGAAGCTGGAAGTGGAGCGTGAGTTGGGGAGGAAGAGACGCTTGGTGGAGCTGTCATGGTCAAGAAACAGATTGGGAAAGCACTGACTGGGAGGTTTTTGAGGGCTCTGGGGGCCTTCGGGGGCGATGGAAAACTGCTTCGAAGTATTTCCGTGCAGGTCCCAGCCACTTTCAGCTGGATGAAACGTGCTGGTTCTTCTTTGGGGTTTCTAGAATGGAGCATTTTCTGCGGCTCAGTCTTCATGACATGGGCCGGCTTGGCCTGCTCTTCTCCGTTTTCGGCTGCGCCGCCGAAAAATCGGACGGACCAGAGCTGGGTCGGGGTGGCAGACCGGTCAGAAGGGGGGACCAGTGGGGGGACTGCGGGACGTCGAGGGAGAACCATTTGAACAGCCTGGGAGGCACCAGGGAGGCAGGAAAGGATCAATTGGACAGCCTGCAACGTCGGTGAAGAACGGAGCCGGACTTCGTCGACTGAGGAGACGTGCGGCGGAGGAACTGGCCCAGAGCCCTTCTGGCGGCATTGAACTCACGTGGAAGAAGGGACTTTGCAGAGCTTCCCCGCACTCAAGCACTCAACCAGACTACAACTGTTAGCACTCCACTGGTGTGGGTGTGTGACCAATTCCAGGGACCGATGCTTCCCCACCAAGCAGATGAAATCAATCCGGAACCAACCGTGAAATCCATTCACCCCTTTCGTTCGGAAGACGAAATGGTCCATCCACTACTACAAACAGTTGGTGCCTTGCAGACGGTCCCCAGAGACGCTCGGACCGGTCGGACGGGTCAGCGGGTCAGCTGGACCCGTGGCGGTTGGATCAAAGCTGCAAAGCGAACGCAGACCCACCCAAACGCTCCATGGGACTGGAATATGCCATATATATATATAATATACCTATACCTGGACCTTCAGAATCAGGGTGTCCTGGCTGGAGGTCTTCCAGCCAGGTGACCCCGAACTGAAGGTGCTGGTACCTTGGCCCCGACTTCAACCACCCCAATGTACCATGGATTCATCTGCCAGTCCCAGACAGGTCGTTGTGTCTGGGAGCAGCTTCACTGGGGGAATTGATGAATCAAGAGTCATGCTGAAGGGGCATTCACTCCGCTAGAAGCACCCGGCAAGCCTGGCCAAGGCCTGGCCGAGTTCCTCACCCCTCGCAAGCTGGTTGGCGGATTTAGAGAGTTAGCAAAGCGATTCAGACATGTAAAGTCACAGCAGACCCTCGAAAGTGGGGGAAATTCGAGGTTCGGAACAGACTCGACTTCTGTTGACCACTTGGGATGCAAAACTGCTAGTGAACAGCTATAATGATATCCTTTTCACATCTGTTCACTACCCGTTTGGGTCTCCTTCTCTTAAAAGAACCCTATAGCTACAAAGACATGCCTGACTTGGGGGTGGGGAACCCGTCCTTTTAGAGGTCACTGGGTCTCGCACAAACACCGCGACCAGCTGGCGCCGACCAAAAGCGGCGCGCGCCGCGGCGCCAGGTGAAAATGCCAGCCCGGGCAACCGCGTCGTTCAGGTGGCGATTGCGTGGGCGGAGCGTGTGGCGCTACACGTGGCGTGGGGAGCGTCGCAGGTGTGCTGTTTGGCACTTGGCCAAGCTGGAGGATCTCCAGCAGCACCCAGTTTGGGTGGTGAAAGTAGGTCTTGACCATCCAAGAACCTGACTGGGTGGTACGGCTCTAACCTGTTGTCAGCAAATGCATCACAGATTAGATGGAGGTTAGGGTATGACGACAAGACATTAAGTCGGACTTACAGTTCTACTTGTGGCCATTGCGCAGTTCCTTCCTCCGCACAGAGTCGCCGTATACCAGTCCCTTCCTCCGGAGACTCCAGTCCCTTCCCTCTCGCGTCTCCAGGTTGCTTTCTATCCCACACCCAAGAGATCTCCTTGTTTTCGCATCCTGAACAGGTCCTTAACTGTGTGGACGTCTCCCGGTGTCTCCCCAGACGTGCAGCCGTCCGAGCGGGTGCTTGGCTCTTCAGCAGGTGGAGGTGGAGCCAACGATGTCCACTTCAGCCAGGGGATCTGATGGGAACTGGGAGTGGAGTTCATGTTTCTTAAAAATCTTAAAAACCCCAAAAGAGATAGGAACAGTAACATACCTTTCAACACCTTGGACACTGTGCCACGATCGATTTGGGGACCACTTTTGGAAGTTCATGCACTAGAACCCACGTCGGGCCGGGAGGTTTGACACTCGGTCATGTCGACGGTCATAGCGTGACGCGGTGAAGAGCCTGGACTTGAACGGACAGTTCGAGTGGTTGACCTGGGGCGGCATATATTCCATACACTCCATGTATGGCATATTTACCTACATTGACCTCTGAAACCACCCCAATGTAGGCATATATGGCAGTCCCATGGAGTGTCTGGGTATATTCCATACATGGAGGGTCCTGCCGTATTGACAGTCTACATGTCCGAGTCTACGCAATTTCCAACGCGGTCCAGGTGGCTTGACCGTCTTGCGAACGGCATGGTCTCAGGCCGATTCCCCCGTGTCGCCGTCCTCCACCGTCTTCCGCTTGGCGCACCAATGGCGAAGCTTGGCAAGGAGGGTGTGTGGACGAGTGGACCTACTTTTTTGGTAGGTGATCTCTTGCTAGGGGTGAACTGTCGAGGTGATTTGTGAGTATCCGGGGGTGGGGGGTAGTTCACCCCCCCACTTTCAGGTTGGAGGATGTTGGAGGCGATTTTAAATCTCAGGGAACCCAGAATCAGAGGTAGGGCTGATTCCAATGACCAATGCGTTGGCCTAGAGAAGGGACAATGGGGGCATGAACCCTCATGAACCCTAAACCTATCCAGAACCACGTCCTTTTTAGTGCTTTATGTGATGCTTTTGGCCATTGCCGCCGTCGCTCACAGGCCTGTGGATCACAACGTAGCAACAAGGCAAACACCTGGTACTATACCGTGTTATAAGATATTAGAGGCAGGATTATATAAGCAGATTAACTTCCGTTTGAGTGTTATGTGCCCTGTCCACTGCTGTTGTTTGTCCACTTCCCCTTCCTACTATAGGTGAAAGACAAGAGCAGTGGCCAGCTCGATGAAGGCTTCGTTCGTATCAAATCATCATGAGGAGAAGCTCCGCAGCATATCTCGCTTGCTCTCAGGCCATACGGATATGCGATTGAACCACATCTTCAATCCCCATGGCAGCGGTGGGGGACGCCCGGTTTTTAGGACGTCGAGGACAACGTCCGACCGCGGAAGGGGATGCCGAATCCGGGCCGACGGAGGTGATCGATAGAGGGAACTCGGTGAAACGACGGAGGATGGATCCAAAGCCGGTGATGTTCTTGGTCCATGGGAACCCGGTTACTAGTCCGGCTAGCGATTTGCGTGATTGACATGGAACCTGAAAATACACCATGGGATGAGCATGGAAGAGCATTTTCCTCTACAAGACCAGTCTTCTCAGGCTGTTAGTTGTGTATTTGGGCCTCCAGTTGAAAGGGGAACCAACATGTTTGACTAGATGTCACCGTGCTCGTTTCAATTGGCGCTTTCCAACGGGCAACGACCTTCATCACGTTTGGGTCTTCCTGAGCCCTAAGATTCATGGCCCACCATTGATGTTTTATAGCCTGAATGCCGAAGAAGGCATTGTTGTACTAAGGCAGGGTCTTCCTGCTTTTGATGATCGATGCGGATCGGGTGATGTTTTTTTTTTTTTTTTTTTTTTTTTTCGGAACCGTAGTTCCTTTTTTCCCCACTGGCATGTGGAATTATGTTCCACTTGATACTACATGTAGCTTCCGGACTGCTTCGCTTTTCTCCGCCTTCGGAACGGGCGCCGGCAACGGCAGCGGACGACCCAGATGAGTTGGAGCTGCAGATGGGCATCGCGGACCACAGCGTCTTTGGTCTCCAGGCCGGTGAAACCGTCCGAAACAGGTCCGGTAGAGCAGTGGTCGACGGACAGGTGACGAAAGCGACGAAAGCCGATTTCTGGGTGCATCCGTAGGATTCGAAGTGCTCAACGAAGAGCCACCCGCCAAAAGGGAACTTGCTCCTTTCCACCCAAATTCAACGCTTGGCCCGCTTGGCCAGCTAGAGATGTGGAAGCACCATTCACGATGACGAAACCGAGAGACCTTGCAAGACCTGACGCTCCATCCTCGCATTTTGCGGACACAGCGCAGGATGCTGCGGAGGTGGACATTTAGAGCTTTGCCTTTTGGAGGTGGACAATTAAACCAAGATCCCTAAGAGCCGCGGTGGACAATCTTGATTGTGGAGGTGGACAATTAAACAAGATCCACAATTAAACTGACGGTTTTTGAGATGACAAGATCCCTAAGAGTCGCCCACGAGTCGAGTCCGGTCTGTGAGCAATGGTCTGTGGGTTGAATGGCGGGCTGTGCGTTGACACGAGTAGACCGTCTGACCATGGTCGGGTCAGCCAAGCCGGTTCGTGGGAAGGGAAGAAAACACGCAGGGTCAGACCCGGTGCCATGACCCCCGAGAGTCAGCGACTCGGGCCCTGGGCCCGTCTTATAGCGTTATAGCGCGACTGGCTTCCATCTGTCCAAGCCACAGCTCAGCTCTTGAGCAGGGGACTGATATGCATATCATACAAAATCATCCCTTAATCTGAGTCAGGCGGCCTCACAGAAGGTCCACCAATCCTCCGCCGCTGCAGTTGAGCTTCTTCGAGCAGCTGATGGGCGCCGTGCGGAAGATTCGGCCGGGGACGGGTCAGCGGCGGGGGCGGCGGGGGAAGAGGAAGCGGAGGCCATGCAGCGGGGCGGTGAAGTGTAAGGGTCAGTCAAAGCCGGTCAAAGCTACGAATGGCCCGTTTCAGCTTTGCCGGAAAGAGAACAAAAGGCTTTCTTGATATGGAGTTGGACGCCGGTAACACATTTGCAGTGTTCTTCTGATCGCTCTATGCTCGAAGTTGCAGGATTATTCCGGTGTTTCTCTTTGGTGGGAGTTTCTATTGGGGTAGATTGAGTGAGTGGTGTGCTGCTATTCTCGAAGACCTGCTCCGCTCAAAAATAGCAGCGCGCAACCCGCACCCGATGGCGCATCTTACACTTCTTTTCCTCCCGTCCGATGCTTGATACCCGGCACCGGGTACCTTGGATGTCCTTGGATGCCCTTGGTTTCCACCTTGTCCAGGCTGTCCAGAATGCCCTCAAAACGAAACGCCACCTTGTCCAGGCTTCCGATGAATCCCAACAACACAGTGAGACTGGGCCGGCACCTGAGATGGGGCACCTGTGGGTCATGGCACCAGGAGACCAACGGGTATTGGTTTTCCCTACCTGGTGGAGACCTGTCATGTGTTTGCCACGCTGCTGTTCCCACAACATCCAGGCAAACCACGATGTCGCTGGGAGTCCCAGTGGTTCCAGTTCGACTAAAACCATAGCTACCTAGAATCCCTGGTTCCTTATAGTGGTAACTGGGACGCACTGCCGTTTGGTGGACTGCTCCAGACCACCACGACCCATTTGCCCCATTGCCCTAAATTGGGTGCTCTGAATCCACACATGGATCAAGCATCGGCCGTCCGGCCTTCCGGTCGACCTGTAAACGAAAGGTTGACCATGGTTGACCTGTTGTCGTAGTGTTTTCCATTCCTTAGAACATCTTAGAACCATGGTTGTCCGGGATTCGCGCCAGCCACGCTAGATCGATCGGCCAGGCGGTCAGCCTCGGGTCAGCCTCGATGGGTTTTCCTCCTGAGATCGGTGGGGGTTGGCCCACCAAGTCAGCACCCCCCTGGGCGGTCCGGTCTTGTGGTCGTGCGACGTGGTGAGCGACGTGCGCTGAGTTTGGGCGCTGAAACCGCGCTGAGTTTGGGACTTTCTGGGTCTCTTCTTGATCTCCTGGGATGTGATCTACATCCCCTTCGAGGCGCACGATGAGATGGGGAATGAGATGGGGAAAGCACTCTCGAGTCACGAGGACAGAGACATGTCAGATCGACCGGTACAACAGGTCTCCAAGACGTGGCCTTTAGCTAGCTAGCCGGTGAAGGAATCTCTCTCAAAACGTCAGCGTGTGGAACTGTTGGACCTGCAATGATGCCATGATCTCCGAGTTTCTCTTTGAATGAGCTCTCAGCAGCTTTTGCTTGCGGGCCGATGGGAGACGCAAGAGCAGCGTTTTGCGGAATAGAGTTGCGTTCAAAGAAACACGCCCTACTCTTGAGACTCGACACTTCGGGGGTGTTGGGCCTCAGGCCGGGCCGGGCCGCAACGAATGCACCGTGGGGGTCCACACCGCAACCGCACCGCCAACTGGCTGCCCAGTTGGCGTTTGATCCAGAAGAGGTGGCGGCTGGTGGCCCCAGTGGATGACAACGATGCGGGCCTTTTGTCTGATGAGACGTCAAGTGAAATGCACCTAACAGGGAGGGCAATTACACTTTGTGTATGAATGAGCATGATAGAATATCAGCTGTCCAAATCTTTCCCCAAAAGCAAGGCGTAGCTCCTTCCAGGATGGACCAAACACTATATACTATATATATAAGTGTTGTTGGGGGGCAAGAAGGTGACCATGGTGAATGTTCTGTTTTGGGGGGGCAGAAGTTGATGTTGAACATGTCGTTCTTTTAGAGAAGCTGGGCTTCCTGACAGAGGTGTGCTTGATAGTCATCTCATCGGTGTGGACAGTGCCCTCGACTCCCTGGCATCATGGGCCAACGGCCGTGGATGGCCCCGAAGACACGGAGGTTCCACCTTTAAATGATGCGAAACCAGGGAGTTTGGACGGAAGAAACCATCGGTTCCATGCTGGAAGGCTCAAGGCAACTGCGGCATCCGCAGATGCAAAAACCCACCAACGAGCACAGAGACAGATCGGTCAAGCGTGATCAGCTTCATCGTTCACAGCGTGATTTTCACGTAGATCAGTTGCTTTTTATACTTGACAGATCGTGAGAGAGATAACAATCTTTAGACAGGTCCTCATAGACATCACTATAGACATCATATATCATCCAATATCATATCATCCAATCCAACTTGTCTTTTCAATTCCAACGCCACCGAACCAACGGTTTCATCGGGTCTCACCGGTCTTCCGTGCGGATCTTCGTCATGGCCAAGCCCGAAGAGGCAGGGGAGCCTGACCAGCCATCCAAAAGGGCGAAGCCTCAAGGACCTGACCAACAGAGGTTCTTCAGAACCCTATAGACTATCCCAGTTGGGTACCCCAGTAAGGTCCTAGTGTTAGGTCACTTAATCCTCCCTCTCTTGGGAGGTCACAAGCTCGCCTCCTGATCCTCCACTCCAGGGCCCCCTTTGATCCTCAAGCCCTCAGGGTTGTGGGTAAGCATACGGAGTTCGTGGCCCCAACAAGCCGACTGAGCTTGCAGCCAACAAGCGATAAGCATACTTGACCAGTGAGAACGTGGACACCAATTTTGGAAGGTTTTGGACTTGGTGAATCTATCATTTCTGCAAATTGAGATGAAGAGGTTTGTGGTTTTGTGACTATATAGTGACTATAGTTGCAGTGAGTTTTCATTGATCTTCCCTCTCAAATTCTTCATTCACTATGCATCTGACGGTCACACGGGTGCCCATGCGGTTTTCGAGCTCAACCCCCCACCTGATGCGGTTTTCGAGCTCTCTTCATGCGACTGGTGCGGTGGATTTTTCGGTGTTTTTCACCCAACCAAAAGGGGCTTTCATCAACCCTCTCTAGCAGGTCGAACACCGGACCTCAATGGAAACTGAGGTTATGTGGGGTGACAAGACACCAACAGTACAGTACAGTACTCAGTATGTACTCCTGTCGACCGGTGTTTCCACCGGACCCGGTCGACCGGGTCCGCCTGGAACGACCGGCGGGTTTCGACCGCTTCGACCGCGGGGTGGACCGATGCGGTCCGCAGCGATGGAGGCAGTGGAAGCTGCATTGAAGACAGCGGTGAAGGAGAGCACGGCGCTGAAGCGCTTGGCTGCCGGGCTTGGAGAAGACCTTACGCCGGGCCAAGCCGTGGTGTTGTTTGAGCATCAACGTGCGGCGAAGCTGGCGAGCATGGAGGTGGGTGTGTATCAAGACAGGGAGACCTCCCAGGCGTTCCGACCCTCTCAAAGAAAGGAAATAGACCAGTCAAGCAGGAAGGGCCAAGGGCTTTATCTATTCAAATACACACTCACATGACACAATCTATCTTGCTCATGGCATACGCAACACCCTTGATCATTAGAACAAGACCCGGTCATACATACCCAGTCATACGTCTTTTTCACCGGTGGCTCCAAGAAAAGGCCGGGCTCACTCCACCATAAGGTGCGGGCAGAAACGACCAATTTCCTGTTCCATCCTTGGGAAGGGATTCGTGGAAGTTCATCCTCAAGTACATACAAGCAGTAGATTCCTCTTTTTCTAGGAACATACAAGTTACCAAAATGAAAGAGGGCAACAGACATCACTATCCCAATATACTTTCAAATCACATCACCGTTTGCAACAACTGATGATAGTGGCGGATGTTCCATGCTTGACCTCTTCCACTGCGGATGTTTGTCCCACTGGGCCCCCACCCGGCCGCGTGTCACGCCGCCGTGATCGGGACGAGCATCCCAGGCTTTGACGCCGGGCTTTGAGATCGAGGCCGCTGCCCGTGAGGCTGAGGCGGTCATCAGCCGGCCGGGGTGGAAACCAACGCCAAGGGAGCAAAGGACCCGTCGAAAGCTTCGTAAGTCTCAGAGAATGCGGCCCTCTTGAGCTTTCAGGGCATTTTTGGTCAGGGCATGATTGATGGTTTTTGCAAAGCTTTCGGGGGCGTCTTAGAGCTTTCCGTCTTGACTTTTGGAAAGGGCACTTATAGATCCAAGTGGGGCTAAATTGTGGAGGACAGGCATGTGCGGCACAGGTATGTTTCCAGCAGAGCCTTTTGCAAGTCCTTTTCTTGAAATGGTTGGGGGTTAGGTATGATTCGATTGATGATTCTGTTTGTGTCAGTTCGTACAAGTGATAGGCCTTCCTTTCCAACAAATTTCCCGGCATTTTCAGGGACAAAAGAAAGGGGGTTTCCAAGCTGAGGAGGCTGACCACTGAAACCAGTACAAACCCAACTCCAAGAGGCGTAGGCTGGCACCTGCCTGTCGCAGTGGCAGAGCTTGGCCAGGCCAGCCATGCCAAGGCTCAACGAGCCTTGGCAGAGGCGACACAAATGCTGCAGGCGCGCTGCGCGCTGCGCGGTGCGCGGGGTGGAAAACAGAGGCGCTCGAGGACCAGGTTCGATCCATCCGGTCCGGTCTTGTCGGACGGACCTTCAAGACCTGGGAGCCCGAAAGCGCCGGGAGCGACCGCCACGGAAAAGAACGCACCGTGTGCGGCTCGATCCTGTCAGAAACCGAATCAGGTCAGAACGAGAAGCAACGGATGAGCTCATACACTCCATGGGACTGGAATAGGACTGCCGCCCCAGCCAGACCCCCCAGACCACCAGCCCTGGCCGTTTTGAAGGCAGTCCGGACTGGCAGTCCCAGACGGGTCGCGTCTGGGTATGGGTGGACGTGGTCATACAACAACCACGACTGAAGGATTTTCAAAAACCAGGTGGATCAGACCGGACCGATGAAATTGCATATACCAGGAGTCACATGGAGTTGGGTGGTTTTTAGTCCCATCCAGGGGCTGTGGAGTAGCTGGGCACCATCCTCCAAGTTAGGCACCCCGTCTTGTGACTGCTGGTAATTCCATGATAGATTCCGCTCTTCAAGCAGTGTGGGCCTAAAAGCGACCAAAGGTGGGGAGACATTCCGAGTCTATGTTTCTGTCAGGACTTGAACCCACCATATGAGCGAAATTCACCTCAACTCTGCAGATGAGTCTCCACATCCTGACGGAGTGAAGATCATTTGCCTCACACTTACACACGGCCTTTTCCCTTAGTCCGAGGATGATTCCCGTATTCTTTGCGCAGACAATGGCTGCAAGATCAACTCTACAAAACTTATCGCTGCAAGAGCATTGTTTTCATCACCTGATGATGCACTTTTTGAGCAAGAACCACCAAGATTGCGGTGCTTCAAGCTTTGCGGTTCCCCGAAAGGAGGCAGACACCACAAGAAAAGTGGCAGATACAGACACACCATTTGCAGATCTCAGAAAAGTCCAGCCCTGTTCAGAGGACCATCTTCGCAGACATCTTCGAGAGCAAAAACCTGGCAAGCACAACCATGGTTCCCAGCCCCTGTTGAGCCAGAACGTCTCCACTTTAGACGATCTAAAGAATGGTGGATTTTCAGGCTTGCAGATGCTTCAAGATACTTCACAGTACCCAGATCCAATGAGTCATGAGTTGAAGTGTTTGTGGAGGTGATGGCGCAGAGTGTGGTGAAGAATGATCTCCCTGCGCAGCAGCTGCACCGGGTGAAAGAGCAGACGCTTGGAACATGGGAAAACATGGGAAAACATGGGAGCACATCCCCAAGCAGGGATGTGAAGAATTTCTTCGGAAACCGGTGGGCAAAAACGGGTTCACCTGTATATAGATCATGGGACACATCGCCTGTCGCAGATCGATTGGGGCGTATGGAACCATAACCTGTAAGAGTTGGTGGGCAGAAACGGATCAAGGCCCTGGGGTCTGGGAGCTGACCATCATCCACTGGCCCCCGTGGGAATGAGATGATGAGAGCTTGGGGCCCCCTATTTTCAGGAAGGCCTAGACCAGTCACTCTCTCTTTGTCAGCCAGGGGCCCCTTTGGGGGTCACCCAGATCGAAAGAAAGCTGACAGGGTCGCGAGATCGGAGATCGCGGTGTGAGACATCACAGACGGGGATTCCGCTTCTCGGTGGTATTCGGATGTCAGGGTCGTGTGCCCAGAGGTCTCCACAAAAGTCAGATATACTGATATAGACTCATAGACTCCCTACAAGATGGAAGTGGAAAACCATCCTGTTTATTGTAGAGTTGTCTTTTTTGGTCATTCGGGTGACCCATGCGATCCACGTTGATGCCATGATGGTTCCAGCGAGGCTCGGTGATTCACTCTTCCAAGGAAGCTCCGCGAGAACTTGCAGAAGCTCTCGAAAGACCTGAGCGATGCTTGGAGTCAATGGCTCAAGTCCAAGGCGGGCGGGGCGCTCGCGGCTTTTTGCACAGCCGAATGGTTTGGGTTTCATCCTCTGGGGAGGAGTAGTGCACAGTTTGTCACCGGCGCATGACATGTTTGGAGGTCATTGGGGTGGCAAAAAAGGGAAACCTGTGTTGAAATGACATGGGATCAGGTGACGCAATGACGGTGAGGATTCCGTTTGCAAGCTACTTGTGAAGTGGAATCGTCCCAGTAAGTAGAGTGTCTAAGGGCAT